CGTATGTTCCTTAGTCACCCAAAAGTCAGGAGAAATTCAGTTCAAGAAAAGTGTCCATTGGAGAAACGCAAGTACACAGAATCATGCTGTGTATATATGTCAGCGGCATACAGGTTCTATACATACTGTAAGCATGCGTCGCAGGACCGGTAAAAGGACTGCATTCCACTTGACTCGCTGTCTCCTATGTTAACACCACAACTAGTGTCTGCTCAAAGACCACTCACGTGCAGCCTCTTGACAGATATATGTTTTACATTTGTTTCGCCACTTAATTTTGTGTTTATTTCACGGCTCAACATCATTTTACAGCTATAGAAGAATAAAGACAACGGCCATGTCTTGCACATACTTTGCCATGACAGGCTCGCTGAGAGGTGCGTGGCAGGGGATAAATCTCTCATTGCAAGTGTCCTTGCAATAACCACTCTCGTTCCCTTGCAGGGGATGTCAAAAGGCAGTTCTCCTACCTGCCAAGTTAGAGTACTGTAAATGTGAGTTTGACTGGTTAGGTACCATGGTATCACGACTCTTGGGACTGTTTTGGTTCCTGGTTCCGTATCCTAAACTTTTCAACTCAAAGGCAAAGAATCCTTGACCTCGTAAGTTAAAGTTGGAGTGGCAGATCCCGAGCTGCTGTAAATCAGTGTAACACCATTAAAGTCAACGGAGCTCCGCCAATTTACTCAAATCAATGACATCCACCAATTTACAGGATCTGGCTGAGAGTAATTTTTAAAGCGACCTGATTTTCTAACAATGGAATAATAACTTTGTTTAAATTCAGTTTGCTTGTATTTTCCACTGCATGTAAGTCACCTTGGACAATCCACCCTCCAGCTGTCTCAAGGAAAGTGCATGTATTCTGTTCTCTGCTACATTGAAATCCAATAGGCTGTCAACAGTTACGAGTCATATGGTCTGATCTGGTTACTTTGTCATAGTTACCAGTAATCCATCTTAAGACCATTTCTGGTTTTTTCCAAATCTCAATTAATAAAATGTATAAGGTTTAAGAGCTTTCCAGATGGGTATTTACATGGATTTAGAAAAGCCACCTGTCGGGAACATGCAGTAATAACTGTCAGCAGAATTTGTAAAAGCTATTTTAACTTATTTCCCTCAAAGGACTAGAGGGAAACAACATCCAATTAGACAACAGCCCAGGTTGACTCAAGCTACTGAATAGAACCCGAACGGAAGTTCTATGGTGTGCAATAGAAAGATCAAGTTAAGTCTCCTGAAAGTGTTAAAGTGAAAACCATGAATTTCCAGACCTAAATCAAGTGCATCAGAACTTCAGGTTAGTGCACGTACCCACACTCTGAAGACCCAGTCCTGCCTCCCACGGATGTCAGTAGCAAGACTGCCATAAATTGCTGTGGAAGCAGGACCCAGCTATTAGAAGCTGCAGTGGTAAGTGCTTTATAGATACCCTGGTGCTAAGCATTATGGGGGAGATTTTCAAATGGTACTGATGCTCCTAAATCCCTTGTGTATATAATAGCTATGGCTAAAATACTGTGGGATTAATCTGGTTGATAGGGAGAATGGAGTGGGCAGGCAAGAGTCAGTGCATGAATCCAAAGACATACTAGGGCACAGAGCCCTGGAGTTTCTTTGCAACCATTTATTGATTACCAGTCATCTGCTAAAAATGCCTCTTTTGATTCCTGAGCCTCCTGCTTTATGTGATGTCTTGTAAAGTCTTATAACCCTTTTCTGGCATAAGTGTGAGCTTGTGATGCAGGGTATGAGAGAGAAATGATCACACTCTTGCCGCACAGTCTTGTGAGACTTTAACTGGATGCACTTCACAGAGATCTAAACTGATACTCACTCAGCCATGGTGAAAGCCAGCTCAAAGTTCTGCTTGCGGTTAGCTGGGTCAAGCGCATTATAATCGAAGGCTTCGGGGAAGAAAGAATGCACTAGGGCACAGAATGCCATCCCGTCACTCCAACTCGAGGAGAAGTTCTGCAGATCAAGGTGCTGTCAGAATGCAAACAGAGCTTTAGGCCTATGTACGGTGCTGGGAACTGCTGTATACTTGACCTCTTCCTCACCAAAGGGAACATGCAGAGTACGCAGCACATGCCTTATGTTTTTTGTTTCCTTGTTTGTACACCTATGATGTTATTTGGGCTAAGAGGAGAATTGGCATCCTCAGCCCTTTTGTGAAAGTTAGCGCAGGTGCAAAGCAGATGTGTAGTCTATGGGCCTGAGCCAAAGACCAATGAAGACAATGGAAAGACTGCCATTAACTTCAATGGGCATTGGATCAGCCTCTGTCTTTGTCTTCTCTAAACTGAGAGCATTACTTAGCCCAATGGAGTAGTCGCTAACCGGAGGATGGTATTTTTCTGTGCAGTGCTTAGTGTCGTATAAAGACTAAACTGTATTGCTTGCTGTACATTTAGGGTCAAATTAGTACTGACTTGCACTCTGAATAGCCCTGTGAACTTTCAGGGAGTTGTCTGAAGGTAAATGAGGGGACACTTTGGCCCATTGGAACTGCACACCGTGTAGAACCATGCAGAAACTGGCCATTTGCCATTACAGCAAAGAGCCAAAGTCATTCTGGATTTGCAACCATGTAACCAAATGGAATTGGGCTCTTTTGCTTCGTGGTGCTAGACTTTTCCCCACCATACAAAAGTCAGACCCTGACAGTTTCATTAGCTGTTGGAATATACCCCTGAGTTTAGAGTTCAACAACAATTATATTTTGTTTTCTCAGAATGAAACTGTGGAATGGGCATTCTTTTGTTCTTATAAATCTAGGAAATTGTCCCTTTCCCCTCGCAGTTGCATTAGGCAATGCAGTTTAATGCTATGTAACTCTAACGGAACCTCCCCCAGGCCAGATTCTCTTCAGTTACACTAGAGCAATCCCATAGACATGAACGTGCTGAAACTGGGAGAATTTAACCTCAACCATGTAATATGATTAAACATCTCTAATTCCAATGTAGAGCAGTCTGGTCTATGGCCTAACAAAGTTATCTTGGTCTCTAGGTAATAGTACTATCAAGTAATCCCCAGCCCTATCCACATTTCATTATATATAATAAAGGAGGCACATACTGCAATTAGCAGAGAGTGCACAAACGTAAGATGAATCCTGTAAACACACACAATTCAGACCTCAATCCAGCAAAGCACTGAGGGCCAGATTTTTAAAGATATTTAGGCGCCTAACTCCTATGGCAAGTTGAGTGCCTAAATATTTTAAACAATCTAGCCCTTAAGCACTAACTTCAATGCTGTGAGTAGTCTCATTGACTTCAAATGAACTAAGCAATACACACACAGATTCTTGGGGGGGGCGAGGGGGGTTGGAGACCAGTGATAAATGTAACCCATTGTCTAGTGCATTTTAGAATGCTATGGAACACACTTTCTGAGTACAGTTTCTCTAGAAATACTCAAAGACATTCCTGGAAATAATTAAAATGGAAAGCCGTGACCTCTTCTCACCTTGTATCCTATGGTTTTGGAGCGACACCAGTCCAGTAGAATTTGCTTAATGCTGCTTGCACTGGCGACCCCAAAACTCTGTGACCGCTTCAGCTTTGCTTTGGACTCTCCTTTTCCTCTAGAAGAAGAAAAGGAAGAAAACCTTGACGAGAGGAGACTAATCCTAACGTCTTCATGGCAGCTGTGTGCCCTGACAGAGACAGTAAAGAGCCCATAAACACTAACCTTTTTTTTTTTTTTGCCACCCCTTGCCTAGGTGAGGCATGCATAGGGGAAATACTGGCCCTAATCACGCTAAAGGGAAAACCCCTATTGACTTCAAAAGAGTCAGAATTTCACCTCTAGCTTCTATTTACGGTATAAACATTGAGGCCAGGACCGTGTCCTGTAAAGCACAGTACACATTGTTGGCTCTCGAGTAACAATATAAAACCATGAAATCCATCTCCTTTTATGAGCCATCCAGAGGGAGGTTTTTACAACACTCCCTTCTGAACAACACCCCCAGGCCCAGGAGTGTGGATATACAACCGCTTGAGCTCTGAATTTCCTGGCTTCTGTTCTTTTCAGGTTGCCCTCCTGACATTACTGAATCTTCATTCTTGGTTGGAATGTCAAGGGCTTGAGCCATTACCCACTGGAAATTCTCCCACTCCCTTCAGTGGAGCTGGATCAGGCCCCAGTTTTACTTTGCTCAAATTTCCAAGTCTGGAGATCCCTCTGCTATAAGTCGTTAGCAGAATATTTCCCTAGTACTGAGCCCCCTTTGGATGCAAGAGGGACTAAGGAGTGACATACTTTCCACTGTCCTGCTCAAATTTCTCAAAGAGCGCTTTCCTGGCCTGCGTTCCTGAAGTGCGTGGCAACGTCTGAGACCGCACCAGTTCTCGCCTCCTTTCCACTTGGCGATGTACAGTCGGAGGTGGGGAGCAGGATTTGGGTGTCACATCATAGTAACTGTCAATGGTATTGCTGAAAGAGAACACCAAAAACAGTCTAAGAGAAACTATCCGGAACATTGGGTATCACCCCAAAGCACTGAGATCAGTAACAGCAAAACTTCAGCAACCTAAACACATGGAATAAATATTTTCAAAAGCATGTGAATAACTTAGCCATTTTCAAAAGTAACTTGGGTATTTGGGAACCTAGATCTCACTGAAAGTCAATAGGACGTAGACTGCAAAAGGCTAGGTCTCCAAGGATATTTAGATGCCTAACTTCCATTGAAATCAGTGGGAGTTAGGTACTTATATAAACATCTCGCCCTAAATCACTTTTCAAAATGGGACTTAGCCATCTAAATCAGGCGTTGCAATTCTGAGCAGAGCAACTCCTAAATCCCTTTAAAAATCTGCACGTAAGGTCTGAATCCTCATTAATTTCCAATGAGATTTAGGCATCTAAGGGCATAAGTCACATGTTTGGTACTTGGGCTCCTAAGTAACTCGTACCAAGCCCAATCCTCGGCTCCTGTAAGTCAGTGTAGCTCCACTGCCTCCAATGGACCCAGGCCAATTTACACCAGCAGGCCAGTTGGATTATATTAGACAGGATTATATCTCGCTTTGCACTTCTATTTGAGGTTCCCAAAGCACTTGACAGATATTAGTGATTTAAGCCACGTCGTACACATGTGAAGGGGGGTGTGTTACCACCATTTCCAACGGGGGGAAACTGAGGCACAAATCGAGGCACTGACTGGCTCAACATCACACATTATCTGCGGCAGAGCTGTGAACAAAACCCAGATCTACTGACTCTAAGTCCCATGTATTAAGCCTATGATGATCGTTCTTTGACTTAGCCACCACAGAGCTGGTATCGCATCCTAACTTATTAGTTGTTCATAAGAAACAACTGTTCTTTCCTGTTCGGGGAAATTTTCAGGGCAGATGCAAGTCCAATTTAAGAGGGTTATGTAATCGGTGCTACCCTTTTTCTTGATGAGGTTTGGCATGCTGAGGATGCCTTGATATTGCTGCAGTAATCGTGATACTGTGTAATCCTATACTAAACAACTGTGACTTTGAGTTAATCAAAAAGGTGTGGTAGTCAGCCTTTCAGAGTGAAGGCAGAAAGTCCTAGTGTGTCCTGCAAGGAGTTTAGAAACTTAAAGCTGTAAGCTAAGCTGCAGGCCCGTCAAACTAAGGATGTTTGATAGGGGTCATGCATTCAAGTGCCAAAAATAGACCCAAAATAACAACTTTTACACAGCCGAGTGCTTTAAAAGGAATTTTCAGAGGCCTGGGCATGGCTATTAAAGGACAACTTAAGCTTTTTACATCCCATCTGTGCCTGTTCACGCTGGGATTAGAACAGGGCTAGCAACGTGGCACTCAATAGCAGGGTTCTGAGCTTGGTGCGTTCTGACAGAGAGATTTGTAGGAGGGTGGAACACTCCATGCATAAAGACATAGGTCACTAGCCTAGCTAAAGCACGATAAAGTATATTGCAGGGAACAATCCTGCACTGGCTCGGGGAACCGGCTAGATCAAAGGTTATCAAATTATCTCGGTACTTATGTGGCCCCCATCGCTGAGCATCTCACATTAAGTAATGTACTTATCTTTCCAACATTGCTGTGACATAGGGAAATGTTACCCCCATTTTACAGGAGGGGAGCTGAAGTACAGAGAGATTAAGGGTACTCCTCCCAGGGAGGAATCTAAAGTAGAGCCAGGAACTGAACCAAGATTTCCCAAGTCCCCATCCAGTGCCTGACCCACAAGCCCATCCTTCCCTTATCCTGTAATGCAGGGCAGGTAACCACATGCTATTCCCAACCTGCTCCTAACACAGTAATCCATTTCTCGGTTTGCCTTTACTGTTAAATTACGTGACAAACTAATCTCAGTCTAAGCATCATCGGGAGCTTGACAGTTCCTGAGAAAACCTGCAGGATCTCTCTTTGTTCCAGTCTCTAGTTCCTTCTGCCTCAGAGACACTCAAACCCTTTTGTAGACTGGAGCCAGTAGGACGCACTTGGTCTGGCTGCCACGGTGAGTCAACAGAACACCTCTGCATTTAGGCTACGTTGAACACACTCAGAAAAAGTCTCGCTGAAACAGTCAAGGGAAGATCCTACCTTTCACTAGCTTTGGTTCCACTAGTCAATCCATAGCTCATGGCTGACATAGACTTTGTGACAGAAGTGCTTTTCTCTGTATAAACAGCAAGAAAAACAAGATGCATCAGTGTTGAAAGTATTTTCTCTCCTTCCCACACATGTTTTTAATCTAGTTCCTGACATGTGGCCACACATTTATTCTTACTCACAGCAATGAAAAGTTGCAGATTTCTCTATAAAAGACCTCTGCCAGTATGAGCTAATGATTTCCTGAGGAGAGATTCTCCCCACTGTCCCAGGCACCAGACATCACTATAGTCGCAGGCAGGGGCAATAAACAGCTCCCAAGGGGCCACAGGACAATTCCCCTGGTGCAGACACTGTGCTGGGACTCTGCAGGCAGACCTACACTGGCCCTCCCGCCAGTCCCAGAGTAGAGGGCATGCTGGAGATGGAGCCAGGGCAGGAGGAAAAGGTACTGTATCATAGGCTGCTATGGTCATTCTGGCAAGCCATAAGCAGCCATGGGGAGGCTAATATAATTTAAAGCCGCTGCCCTACAGGCTACTTTAGTTCCACCAAGGGCCATTTCAGCCCCCAGACAGCCCAGGTTCAGTAGGATGCAAAGATGGCTTACAGCAAAGCTTTGCCCCTACCTCTCCCTGGGCTGAATCTTCTGTGTCAGGCCTCCCGGAGGTACAGCCCCGGGTCTCCGCCCTGTTCGTATTTGTGCCCGGGAATGAAGCATTAACACTAAGGGGCTGGTTCTCCACTCCCTCAGTTTCATATGCGTGTACCTGCTTCAACCTCATTGATTTACTCCCCGGTACTGTAAATGAAAAGGCAATTGGGCCCTAGGTTTTCAAGTGCAAACTTAATTGCCCTTTGAAAACCGAATGTGAAGCTTCTTCATCTCAGGTTTAATCCCTGGACTGTGAAGGGACAGGTTTTCCTGTGCTTTTCCACCCAGAGCTGATCTGCATCCTCACCTTGCAAGCCTGTGGGAGCCCCTGGTGCTAAGAAGTAATGCGTTTTCTAGGCTGTGTCATTTCTGCATCCAGGGCCAGCTCCAGGCACCAGCTTGTCAAGCAGGTGCTTGGGGCGGCCACTCCGGAGAGGGGCGGCACGTCCAGGTATTCGGCGGCAATTCGGCGGACGGTCCCTCACTCTTCCTGGGAGCGAAGGACCTGCCGCCGCAGATCGCGATCGCGGCTTTTTTGTTTTTGTTTTGGCTGCTTGGGGCGGCCAAAACCCTGGAGCCGGCCCTGTCTGCATCCCTGCTGAACTGACAATGCAAATCGGTTCCAAATGGCTTTGTCATTTACAGAGAGTAATAGCTTGGTGATGTGGACTAACAGCATTTTTGGACAGCGTTCAAGTCATTTGTTTAGCCATGAATTAAGAGTCTGAGGCATTTTGTCCTTTTACACATTCATGACTTGAAGAAGGGGTGAGATGTTGAAAAGAAAAGTTTTCAAACCATGCTACCCATCCCTAAGGCTCCTGCAATGAATTTGCTTTGCCATGGTGGTGCTGTGTGACTGCTGTACCAAAGCGTCTCTGTTTAGCAGCCTTCCTGATTATGTACCAGGGTTTGATCTGCCTTCATTTGTATACCGCCCATGTTAAAGTCTTTTCCCACCAGCTCTCCAGGCTGCAGCATCACACAGCTCTTACTCCTGCCACGTTCCCCGCAGCTGAGACGTCTAGTCATTCTCTCCTCCAGAAAATCAAGTTTGCCCCAATGTACAGCAAAGAACGCAAAATCAGTCCAATCTGGTAGCACCACGGCCTCAGTGCGAGACAAAGCTAAGAGAATAAATTCCCTTCTGGGAGTGTGATTTATGAAGTGTTTGTGGTAAGGACAAAGAGCATTGTGGAAAATCCAAAATAAACTGAAGGCTTTTCTTTGCTCTGGCTGGATCATCCTAAGGGTTTGTAAAACCAAACCCCCGTGGCAAAGTACTCCAAGGGCATGTCTACACAGCAAAAGGTGTGCACAGGCTAGCCTACCAGAGCTCTCCTGAATCCAGCCAGCACAGGTGAACAATAGCAGTGAAGACAGCATAGCACGGGATTCAGCGCAAGTAGTTCAAGACTGGCACAGACCCTGGGTATGTACTTGCCATGCTAGCCGGCTCTGAAGCCCACGCGGCACTATCTTCACTGCCATTACCTGCGTTAGCTGGATTCAAGCTAGCTCGGGGGCGAGCCTGTGAACAGCTTTTGCTGTGTAGACATGCCCTGAGTCTGAGTGGGCCATTGTCCTCTGCTAAGAATTGATTTATTGACTCTCACTGAAGTCAATGGAAAGACTCTCCTTGACTTCAATGGGGCTAAATTGGACTTCTGCATGCAGCCTTGTAACGCTCTTAGCGTTACTACATACTTCTGTAATATAACCATCCAATTAAAGATTAGTGGATAGACAAATCCTACTCCGTAGAGATGGGACCAGATCTGAACCCCCAAGCACTGCAGCACTGGCTACCCTGTATCGTTTAGCACAATAATGTGGGGTTTGGATATACCTTCCATGCTGAAGGGCAGAGAAAATAACACCCACCTGCAGCTATGGAGGTGCCCATTGTTCTCACGGAACTTGAATTCCAGGTCTTCACAGCAGTCACTGAAAAGCAAAAAAGACAGAGGAGGGGTTTGCTTGTTTCTGTGTTTTAATAAAAGGGCAGGTAGAGAGGAGGGA